ATTTAAGTTCTTAGATTTCTTTCATACCGATTGCTTGTATTTCTTTTATTTTTCCACTTGCGCGCGGCATTGTGATTTGTTGTTTTTTCTTTCTGTTTTTTTTCCTCTTCTCTTCTCGCTAACTATGTGCAGCCCATTCTTTTGATACCTGATTGTTTTTGTCTGCGGTATCGCTTTAGGTTTCTTCTATGCATATCGAGATCAGACAAGAGCGCCTGATATCTATTGGCGGCAGGCAGCGTTGCCGGCGTGGTTCATTGTACGTTGTCTTATTAAATAGGCTGTCGTTCTTTGTTGAATGCTGCTGCCACCACTTCATCTATTTTTATTTTATAGACCACAGCGTCTTTTTTATATGAAATGGTAGGCAGCAAAAGTGATCTTGCAAATGCATTCATACATACATATGTATTAGGGTGATCTAAAATGAATTTATGGCCTTTAAAAGACCTATTTACTAAGAATAAAATTCTTCCATTTCGAAAAATTGGTATTCCAATTCCCTGTAAATAACATTTTTTTTTTCATTAAACATTAAAAATGTTATAACTATTGAAACATTTAAGGTAAACATTTTTTCTATGCACATTCTAGTAGGGAATTAAATTCTCTAAGAAACGACGCTGAAGTTGGTTGTATTAGAGATTATTAATAGCGTTGATACAAAATTATAATGGAAGTTTGACGAAAGACGAAGAACAAAAGCTATTTCTTTTGCAAGTAGTGCCATTTATTCGCCAGCGATATCCTATTGCCATAAACTGAATTTTATTAGATGATAATTAAAAAGAAAATTGTTGTTTAAAAATGCAATAAAAAATAAATAATGGGATTAATACTCTCCCTTCTCTGACAAATCTTGTTCATAATTAACATTTTGTACAAATTTGGTATCATTTTAGTGTATTTGCAATAATAAAGCACTAAAACTGCATGTTTCGGCTTTTTTTCGAGTTTCATAGCCCGCAAGTATATACATACATTTTTAAGTCTAGACAATTAACACCAGGGTCATTTTTTAGAGAATTCAATACCCTACAAGAATATGCCTAGAAAAAAATTTTATCTCTAACTTTTTAATGGGACAAAAATTTTTCCATATTATTTACATGTAAAATTTCAAATGCCCACCGACACCTTTTAAAATTGGAATAAAAATCCAAATTGGAGAATTTTCTTCTCAGTAAATAGGTGATTTTAAGGCCATAATTTCGTTGGGTAAGTTTATTTGGATCGCCCTAATATGTGTATTAGGGCGGTCCGTAAAAAAGCAACATCTAAATTTTGTTCTACATACAAAATATGTAAAACATCCACGAAAGAATTTCAAAAGTTTTAACAAATTTTTAGAGGGCGCCACTAGGGGATGAAATTTTTTTATTTTTTTTGTCGTAAAAATTTTACAAAATTTTGACTAGAAATGTGACATACTGTTGAAACTTATTCAATAAAATTCACAAACTCGCAGAATTATAGCTGGCCAAAGTCGAAATTTTGTTGAATTTTTTTCGATTCTGTAAAAGAGATACAATTATTTCAAACCCTCATAGCGGTGCCTATTTTCTTTTTTTTTATTTCGCAATTTTTGTGGATATCTTTATTTTATATCGTCACCTGGGGAGAAGATCGACCTACATATCTCGGCAGCCAGTTCGAAAACGCCCTATCTCAGAAAACTTTTCAAGAACGCCCTATTTCCAAATTTGCTTGAAAAACGCCCTACCTCAGAGTTTGGTTGAAGAAAAAAGGGGTCCCATATCAATTTGATATTTTCTGAACCAATCTAATATGTGCTCACATATATGGAGGAAGACATACACATTTACGTATATGATATCCATGTATATGACCTGTAGCGACCGCATTGAGGAAGTGGTATCGTAAAAAACGCGCGCTGCCTTCCAATTTCGTGTACTTGTATGCATGTTTTTGTCAGAGGCGTCCTTGTTTTTGATATTTTCGATGTTTTTACTTTTTTTTGATTTTTTCTTGGTACTTTTTTGGTACTCCGCTGACATGCTATTTTTGGGGCGTTTTCTAAAGCAAATGATCAATCGAAATGTTTTTTCTTTCGTTTTTTTTTGTCTTGTTTTTTTAAGAAACTTCGCCGTACATTAGACTCGACGACGAGATACCAAACCAAATCAAATTTCGAATGCCATTGTTGGAATGTAAGCGCAGTTGGAGTGATTATTTTTGATGCGTTGTGTTTTTTTTTTTTTGTCGAAAATATTTGAAGCATTTTTTCGTATAAGTAGTCAAACAAACTGTCTACATCTTCATATCTTTCGGCACAGAACTTAAATTTTCTTCCACTTTTTTGTTGCCCCTTTCGGTTGGCGGTGATCGCTGCTAAATGAGTCAGCTAACTTGTGATGTGTAGTAGACGGGCCAGTGTTGTATTCTTGTTGATTGTGCGCTGCGAGTATATTACTTCGCTGACGGTTAGACGATGAATATATTACGGAGACTGCGTGAAGCGAATGCGGTATAGGGATCGCGCGGACCTCAAAGTTTGCTGCTATAAATAATGCGTTTTGTATTTATCTTTCTTATTTTCGTTTTGCATAAAATTTGTGTTATTTTTGTAGCATCAGGAAAGTGTTAATTTTGAATTATATACTAGCGAAGAGATTCCATAGTGAATGAATCAGATTATCTTCAGATGTAATTGATGCATAGCTGATGTGCAGCGTGTCAAAGTATATTATACCTTGAGATATATGTGCATATTTAACTACTCCATTCAATAAATTCTGCATATTTTATTATTCAAATTGTATCTAACACCGAAGTATCATATTCCTGTTTCTACAAGCTTAGCATATTTATAGAGCGCGAGGTGTTGACCGAAAAATATGTGTAACCACTTATCACTTCAGTGTGAAAATTTGCATACTTTATTGGATGAGTTTTCTACGAAAATCGGCTAACTCAACTAAGTCCGACTTATATTAGAGCTACGAACTTTCAGACTATATCATAATAGTATTAAACTACATATGTAAACATTCAAACCATCTGAAGCGCATGTGTAGCCACAATAGCCGCTTACCTCTGTCTTGTGGACCAAAACGTGTATCAAAGTGTAAATAATATACCAAAATATGTTTTAGCTATAAATTTAATTTAGAAGTCGTCCCAAGATTCCTCTAGAGAGAGTTATAAATTGCTTAGATTTCATTTCTCCGTTGTCTTCCCCCATTCGGCGAAAGCTTGAGAATCCCACTTTCTAATTCGGTAAAAGTTCCATGTAGAAATTTTCTTAACAGAACTCCACTTATAAGGAAGCTTACTACTTACTACGATACAATTATCGCGTTGGGTGCCATTTTGAGGCACTTTCGTGAGAATGCTAAATACCTATATATATCTTAATTTTTCGGTCAAACCTTGATTCCCTGATGAATTTGCAAGTTTTGTTTGTATATGTCTTCCGGGCACTTTATGCCTAGTAGCCGCTAGATCTGGAATTCCCGAAGGATTTGCCGATATATCTGCAAGTTTTGTTTGTGTATGTCTTCCGGGCACTTTATGCCTAGTAGCCGCTAGATCTGGGAGTTCCCGAAGGAGATGCTGGACACTTTCTTCGCTACCTTCTGGGCCAGTGTCCCGTAATGTTTCCTACAATTTTAAATACTTCTTCTCTTGATCTATTAAGCAGTTCTAGTGTATTTGTCCTGTTATAGCCAGGCGACAGTTCCCTGGTTATTTGAAAGTTTCTATATCCACCAGCTTTTCCTGGACAGTGAAAGAAAATCCAAACCAATTTCTCTTTTACCAACTCCGAGGGGGCATCAAAGTGCAACAACCTCAGATTCCTCCTGTTTTCGCCAATTAATCGGCCTTTTCATTGCCATCAATATTCCCATGGCCAGAAACCCAGACAAGAGAGACGCTTATTGACGCAGTTCTGAGCATAATTCCGTTTTACACTTCTGGAATAGCTGCAAACCGCTGGGCTGTTACAGCATATTCTTGCTTTCCTTATTCTAACGATGACTTTTATTGGAACGTCATACGATTCAAGGATGCCTAAGGGTTCCGCTTGGAAGATGCTTGTATCATACCCCAGACGCAGAGACAAAGAGACGCCGAGTTCCTTGGAGTACACACCTGCCCCACATAGGGTTGCCAACATAATTATAGTACTTTTTCAAAAAAATTTAAAAAATATAGTACACTTTGAGTATATATAGTATTTTATTTAAAAGAAAAAGTAAACACGATTTTTAAGTGATGGAACAAGTTATTCCTGTGAATTCCGAAGTGGTTGGAATAGAGTAGAAATGAAATAATTTTTCAATTCTTTCTCAGGGATTTTAAAAATATGTTAGCTTTTTTGATTATAAACTCACAATGACCTTTTACTTTAAATAATATTTCATTTAATATTGTTATTTCAGTATAAAGGTCAACCAATTTAATACATATTTTTCATGCAAATTACTGAAATATTTTTATATTTATAATTGAAGAAATATAGTTTTATTGCGTACTATATATTTTCCAACAGTATATATTTAGTACGCCGACCGGAAAAATAGTACAATACTATATATTATAGTACGGTTGGCAACCCTAGCCCCACACCACAGGCCCGCTCGAGCCGTCCACTCTCTGAAGCTGAGGTTAAATGCCATATAGTCAGTCATTTGTCGTGAGTGTACTTCGTTGATGATCATCCCGTGCCTAAATTGACGAGTTTCCCATAGTACTGACTCTCTGAGTCTGACTGCAGATTTCATGGCCACTTCTTTTAGGTGGATGTGACTTTGTTTCACTCGGAAGTGAAATCTGCCTGATTGTTGTGCTTATTATAGCAGTTCATATCTCAGCTGACCTATAAGTTTGATGTATGCACGAGGCCTAAGTGAGAACATATTTGACTAACCAAATTAACTTATTTTTTTCATGAATCTACTGAAATATTTGCAGATATGTGGATATGAGGTTTTAGGTAAATATTCAGCGCCATTGCACAAAAATCACAAACTCACCTGAAAATTGTTTATAGCCACCAAGTATTTTATGTTTCCACCATTTGACGATATTACCCGCCATGTTGGCCGCTGAGTGAATCGCGAACAAAATGCACAGGACGTTGATATTGATATTTAACTTTGGAGTTTAGAATATTTCAGCTGTTTTGTGTTTTTATGCACAAAAGACGAGCGTTTTACAGCACGTCGTTGCACTTTTGTTGTCAACGTTTTTTATTGACGGTTTGTTGCGCGATTGTCTCAGTTTTTTTTTTGTTTTTTTCTTTTGCTGCGTTCGTTTGCTGTGATTTTGAAGCTTTTGCGTTTTTTTGCCTTTTTCGCTTTTTTAGTGCAAAACTGCAATGCCTGCCTGCTATCTCACTCAATTGGTTTGCGTGATTTGCGGCGGCGAGCAAATGCAACCGCAAACAATCAACAACAGAAGCTGAAGCCGAAACTGGGGCGGCTGTAGCAGCAAAGGAGAAGCAGTGAAGAATGCCTGTTTCATAGGTTGTTAACTGCGCTGCACGTTGCTGATTTTGCTTGCCTTGCTGGTTGGTAAATTGTTAAAACTAAAAAGTGATTTTTTTGTTATTGCTTTTCACTTCCTTTTATTGCAGCATAGCTCGATTTTGTGTCAGCATTTGTTACAGCGGCACAGTTTTATTTGCGTTTATATAAAATGTTGGCACTGCTAGAAAATTGCTGTGTTGTTGGAAAATAATCTACTTGCATTGTTGTTTTTATTTTTATTATCTATGTTTCGTTGTTTGTTGCCTTTCTATGTATGCTTACTGGCATTCACTAAAACTTTGTTGCACAAATGGCTGCAACACATCCTGCTGCACTTTTTACTATCAATTGTGTGTGCGTTGTTTTTTTGTTTGCTACCGCTGACACATTTGGTTGATTGCAAGCGCGCGCGAACAATTTTACTACACTCGCTGTCGGACGGCTTCCCTGAGTGCCTCTAGCATTCGTTTCGGTTGCCGTTTATTATCCTTATCGGCACAGACAGGTAAGACAGCGACTGGCAGGCAGCATTTGAAGAAAATATCACGTACGCTAGTAGTAAATAAGTATCTGTGCTCACTTCTGCAACACAGCATGTATATACTTTGTTGTTTTGCACTTTATTTTCTTTTATACTTATCGGCCGTTTTGAAAAGTAAGCACTTTTCTTTTACTTTATCAACTTTAGTGTGTCACTTAAGTTCGAGCAAATGAGTCGTTGTTCCCCCTTTTCCTTTATAGCCGCTTTTACTGGTTTTGCCAGCATTCAACTGACATTTTTCACTTTTTTAGTGTCACGTGAACTATTTTTACAATCCGCCATGCTTTCTCTACGCTTTGCCCATGGCTATTATTTATTTAAAGCCGCACTGCTTTATATTTAGTTACTTCAAAAAAGTATTCACCTTTAAAAAATTGTCATTACCCAAAATTATATATGCATTACCGCTGAAGCCATAAGTTTGGGTTTTTTCTGCAAAAATTTGTATTTTCCTTTAAAATTTCGCATTTTAAAAGATAAATTTCGGGTTTTCGCCAATTTTTCTTTTTATTATCTTTTTATTTTTATTTCTGCTTCACGTTTCAATTTTATTGTTTCTTTCTCTTATTTTTGTTGTTATTAGTTACTTCTTCACTTGCACGTTTTTGATACCGCGTCGCGTTTATTTCTCTCTGCCGAGCCAAAGCGTCGGCTAGGAAAAATATCATTGACAAAAATATCAAACTGTCCACAATAGGCAGGAAATTCAATGATTATGGAAATAGCATCCGGTCAAACGTGTTTTGTTTGCGGTACAATAACTTTTTTTATTCGGAAATTCACCGGAAACTTTTCTGCTGTTTCCAATTTTTTAGGCGTTGCACGCCAGCTCATAAACAGCGCTCAAGCTTGTCTAGTCAGGTCTTTAATTCTAGTCGCACCGAAAAACACTTCTATGGCTGCAAAAATTGCCAATTTTAAATTCTCTTTTCCCAATTCAAACACATTTCCCATACATCAAATCAATTCCACGCATCGACTTCCGTTTATTCGAATGTATGCACCGCAAGAACTTAAACGTGTTGTATTGCCTTTTTCGTTTAGCTAACTAACATTGACTTCCTATTTCCTCCGTTAGCACAACATTTGCTCTCAACATACGACCACTGACTGAAATGTGAAAACACAGCACAGACACTGCGGCCGATACTGCCAATGATGCGTCGACTGAAACTCGCAGAGCAGACAAGCACATACTAGACGCCTGCTGACTCGCCGCTACGTTTGTCGCCTGCTGCCGCCGTTGCCGTCTATGCTACATTAAGTCTGTCCCTGCGGTACTACAGCCTACACCACGACGCAACGTTGGCGAAGCCGTTGGCAGAGTTGTTGACTTCGGCCTCGACGTCATCGTCATCTCTGCCTTTGTCGTCATAGCGAGTTATTGTTTTCGCTTCTCGTGGCTGCTGCTCTTTTTGTTGTTGTTCTCCAAAGTCGGCAATCGGCATGGCATAAAAAAGTACTACATACTAGCTGGTGGTAGGTACTAGTTGGATGACTGACTGGCTGGCGGTGATGGCGATGGCGGTGGCGGTGGCGGTGGCGGCATTCAAAGCAAAGCGCAAGGCGGCGGCAAACGTGAAAGACATAAGAGAGCGCGCGGTTAGGCCAAAGTGAATCAATTGTGAGTACACGGAGCCGTTAATGCGGGAGAGTTGCTGTTAAAAATTTTAAAATTCATAAAACGATAGAGCTTAGGGTTATACTTTGTGAGTGAGATCTTTGACAGCAAATATTTGTGATATTTTAGTGTTTTTATAAATTATTATTTTTTCAGTCAATTGTTACTACAGGCCTTGGCACATTTAGTCATGTAGCGATACTCAGTTGAACAACGCGTAATAGTGATCCAAACGTTTTATCAAAATGGTAGGACTGAAAGAAGTGAATTCCGCACTACCTTATCGTGATGTGGTTTTTGGGATGACGGAAAGTGATGTGGCTAACGCTGTTACGGTGAACGGTGAACGTGGACATATAAGTATATGGTGAACAATATGCGGGGCCACTTGACACACAGCCCTATTGCGAACATCTGCGGTCTTATTGAATCACCCAATACACCTAACATCAGCAGTCTAATATATATTCAAACCTAAACCTAAATATGTCTGATAGTTGTGTCAGGACCAGAGTAAAAGAATCATGTTGGCAAGGAAGTGCTGGCCCGCAAATAAGGGTGCTGCATCCAGAGCTCGTAACTAGGAGCCTTTATGTGGTAATTCAAGTTTATTTGGGTTGTCGTATCCGCCATAAACGAGATAAGAACCATTAAAAGACCATTTAACTGGTCCTATCTTCACTCACACGCGCTCCGCCAGCGACCGCAGGTGGAAACCAGAGTAGCGTCGCGGCAAAATATAGCTTTGATAGGACTACATATATTGTTTGTTTCGTTTCGTCTGCTTTCTGCGCACAAGCTCCCACACGCATTCGTGCCAACAGCAGTTTCGTCGTCAAATTTCCAAAAAGCATTGGGACAGGCAGTATGGAGTCGAACCGCAAAACTTTTGCATAGAGGTAACTAGTTTTCGTGGCCCACGGTCTCTCCGGCGTTGCAGCACCATCATAGATGGATTTAAAGCGCAAACAGTCAACGACGTAGCGTATACGTAGGTTGACGCAGACACGATCTAGCTTATGGGATTCGTGTGTTAACGAAAACTCACCATCGCATGGCGGTGACGTTGCCGTTGCTTCTCTCTCTCTCTATCAACAGTAAATTGTATATGGTGCTACGTACGTCAACCTACGTTTACGCTACGTCGTTGACTAACTGAGCTTTTATCCTGCCTAAGTTTCGCCGTCTGCTTCACAGTTGAACCCAACTGTCGTAGTGCATGTTTGTATCACTGGTCTCAAGGTGCCTCGAGTGACACAGTAAGTTATCCTCGTCGGCAAATCCGCCGTTAGGGCCAGAACCAACACACATATCGTGTACCTCTTCCATCAGCTACTTCATTTGCCTACACAAGCACTACTCACGGTTTGCCCGCACTACGTTCGAAAGTGCTTCGAAGCTGAGACTTCAGTTTTACCCAATGGCAAAATGGTCAATAACCGGGGTTGGTGGCGTAATAATATGTAATAAATAAACAAATATTTGTTAGTTCTCTGAAGGAGCAATGAATAATCATAACCTCATAACAGTTTCTCACTGTGCACTTTACGCCAGTGTGAACCACCCGCCTCACACCCTCTGTAGGAGTGTACTTATACGAGTTTCTACATAGCATTTACGTTTTGTTTATATCGAAAATTCGAAGATAGTCTCACACTCAGAGAATGTATATGTATGTCCTTGTTTTCCCACTGCACTTGCTTTAATCGGTGTTGCCATTTGAGTTATTTTCCGGCTAGATTTATCTTTTTTTATTTGGGTTTAGCCGAAAAAATCCTGTTTAGCTTCTAGCTTTTTTTCTAAAATTATTTAAATATTAACTGCAAATTTTAATAGGGTTCAACATTTTAACGATTTTTAGTATTAGGTACTGGATGAAAAACAAAGACAAATGCTGTCCTGATATTTTACTTCAGCGTGTTTTCATTTAAAAAAATATACCTTCCTAAACGCATCCTTTCAAAAGTTACTCAGTTACGCGAAAAAGTACGCTTTGCGATGATGAAGTACAAACTTATCGCACATGTTTGTATTTTCCCCCTTCAAAAAATACAAAGAAGGGCTTCGGAGGCTTTGACTTTATCCGTTATCTGCGTGGGTAGTCTGGTTTTTGAACTCTTTCGACACTCACATCACCTTCAGGAATGAGCGAACGGGAAGCAATAGTTGCAGAGCGACAGCGGAGAATTTCTACATGGATGGGTTGAAGCTTGACGGAAGTGTCGATGGGTGGTTATTTCATGCAGCATTTAGGAAGCATTCGAATGTCTGTTATACTGCACGACTTTGGCAAGGGAATTTTCCCCGGCCAGACTCATTTGGGTGCCAGACCGTGTTTTGATATCGCAGGGAATCGCGTTGCGGAGAATATGACCAGAAAAGGCACCCTCGATTCATACTCATCTGGTAAAGAGTGGAATACTTTCTCTTTGGAAAACTTACTGGTGGAATATTAAAGTATTGGTTTTCCCGCGGAGGGGCAAAATATTACACCGCATCGTCACAAAACAACGAGGTGAAATCAAAACTTTGTCTTAAGCTGCCTACATTTGTGAGGCTACGAAAATATTTATTTAAATACAAAATAAGTTGTTCCTTGCAAGTATGCATCATATCTTATCTTAAACATTGGCACTGTTATGAAGTTATAATAACGACCAAAAATATTTTATTTGTTAATTAAGCTATTTTTTCTAGCCATAAAAAAAATTTGATTTATCTTTTTTAGCTTTATTTTTTGCCCATTTAGCCGTTTCTCTGAAAAAGTTCTGGCAACACTGGATTTAATATAGTACTTGGTTGTTATTATAAAATACATAGTACATATAAGAATTTTGTGGGCTGCTTTTTATGCATGCAGTATTGCCAAGTCACGGAAGTGAGAAATCGTCAGTTTGGTTCTCAAAAATCGTCATTTCTATGTAAAAATCGTCAATATATAAAAATTTTAATAAACAGAACCAGGAAGATCTTTTGTTTTTTTTTCTGATTGATATACGTAAAAAATAAAAAGCTAATTGTTTTTACGGATTTTAAAAATTCACATTACTTTTAACAAAAATATTTTTAATTGCAATAAAATCGCATTTTCTTCTTAATTTTTAGATCATTAATGCCCGGCTTGCATTAATGAATGGGGGGGGGGGGGAATTGTGAAATCCTCATGGCCGTAAAAAATCTTCAAAATGACGACCAAATTTCAACCTGGCAACACTGCCAGCAAGTTAATGAAGGCAGGAAATTAAGAGAACGAAATATGCCTCTTAGGGCCGCGGTACCTAGTTAAGAGCGCATGATTTTCGAAATTGCCAATGGGAAGAGAAAACGAGTTTTTGAATGGTTTGTTATTATTATTACGAACAACAAATGTAAGTGCATGTGTATAATACATATGCCTACGTAAATATAGGTACATATATGAATATATTTAGGTAAAAATAAAGCTGCGAACATTTCATTTTGACAAATGTGCGTTTGATACAATATATAGCGAGTTAATAATTTTAATATTTGTTTACAATGATGGAATTCAATAATTCGTTTTGTTGAATTTGAGCTTCCGTTTAATAAAAATGCTTTTTGAATAACTATAAACATGTGTAACATTGAGTGGCTACAAAATATATTTTCCAGGTGGGTTAGTAAGTAAATTTTGGATTTATCAGAATTTATTTCAAGCAGTTGAAAATTAATCGACTGAAATATTTTTATTGGAAAAAATATTTTTTTTTGGCTTTTTGGCAATTTTCATTTAAAGTACTTGTTAAGTGGATATACATGCATTTTAATTGAAAAAAATAATCAATTTGAATATCGTCACCTGAAATGCAAAATAACGTAATAACATCGTCACTGAAATGCCAAAAAGTCGTAACTTATAAAAAATTCAAAATTCACTTTTTGATTGCTATGATGGATTTCATCGAATTACAACTCCCCACATCGTTTTATGAAAGAAAAAAAATAAATAGTCACGACTTTTTCCATTTCAGTGACGATGTTGTTACGTTATCTTGCATTTCAGGTGACGATATGTAGTTTGGGGAATGGAACACATTTTTTTTTTTTAATTTAAAAGTGAATATTTTGAGCTCGAAATTTTATATAGTTTTTGTTAAGGAAATTTCCAATGTCAGCAATTTTTTATGGCAAAGTTGGCAAAATAGAAACCAGAAATGTAAAAAAACTTCAATAAGAGCGTTTCGGTTATGGATCAGCGTTGCCGCATCAAAAATATTTTTTCTACCAAAATGGCCACACAAAATCGACCAACGTTTTGTAAAAAGTTCAAGACAACCCCAACCGTTTTGAATAAGGCAGATTTTCAAAGAAACATAAACACATTTTGAAATACAACTCCAAGAGACACAAGGCTAAAAAATGCATTGTTTTTTATGTGTCGAAAGATCCGTTCTGGTCCAAGAAAGAGGAAGCTTTTAAAATCTAAATCATCCCGGAAGTTTTCTCTCAGCGGATTCAGATACTCCTGCGAGCAAATCCTTTAAATATATACTTTTCAGGAAAGATTTCTACCTGAAATCATCAGTAGTGAGTAGGGATGGTGATTT